TCCAAAAAATTTTCTGTTACTCACTTCCAACCACTACTGAGTAAAATTTGTACTCTATATGCTGGTTGGAAAGTTAAGTTCTTGTCTTTCACAAGTAGGATCGAATACTTGAAGTTTACCATTGCTTATAAGATTAAAGGGGCAATTTTACTTAAGCTATGCTACAAATCTATTGATAAACTATGTTCCAAGTTTCTCTTTCATGATTTCATTATTGAGAAGAAGTTTCATTTCATTGCTTGGAAGAATGCTTATCTTCCCACTTATGTTGGTGGGCTTGGAATTCCTAACATCTAATCCCTCTCTTTTGGATTCAGTGCTCCTTTATTTGGCAGTTGTTTAGTTTGAATTCTCTGATTTGCTGGCTGGTATATATTTAAACATGTCTCCCTTGGAAACCACCAACATCTAAAGCTTCTAAATACTTGAAATTCATTTGCGACACTGCTGGTCATATCAAACAACAAATTAAATTAAATGTCAACAGTGTTAACTGCATGTTTGACATATTTTGGGATCCTTGGCTTAATGGTTTAGCTATTTCTGAACTTTTTCAACATCCCTTTGCTGGTTATGCTAGTGTGCAGAATTATATTTGTTTGGGAAATTGGAAGTTGAGAAACTCATTTCCTCCGCTTGCAATCCAATATATCCATTCTTTGATAATTCAGGACAACCCACCTGCTTGTATTTTTTGGGTTGGAAATGGGGAGCATTACTTTAAAATCTTTAAAGAGCTTTTCTTCTCAAATTTACCTAGTGTCTGGCATAAATGATATTCGCTTAGGTATTCTTCTTTTGCTTGGCTGGCAGTTTGTGATGGGTTTAAAACCATACATGAGTTAGGCAAGAGAAACATTGTGATCCAACGAAATTGTCACCTCTGTTGGCTGGAAGATAAAATTAATCTGCATCTTATGCTTAACTTTGATTTCTCTTTTGAAGTTTTATCCTCTCAACTGCCTTATCTTGAAGGTTTCCTGTTCCGGCCCTCTTTGCTTCGGACTTTTGAATTTTTTGATGATTTGCAGCGACTCAAACTATTAGAGAAGAACCTTTGCTTTTTTGTTATATGTTATGCAGTTTATTTTTTGTGGAGGGAATGAAATGACAGAAGATTTGACTCCATTCAGAGCACTCCCAACACTATTTGCCGTAGGATTTCTAATGCAGTTACTGCAAAAATTAAAAGATGAAAGAACATTGATAAGTTGCAATCCTCATTTCCCTCGTGCTTCTCATTGCAACATCATTTTTAGCAGATTTTTAGTGTTCTGGGAAATGGTGTGTGTAACTGACACTACTTTTTATTGCCCCTGAATTGCCTGGACATTCCTACTGCTTTGTTTATTCATTTGGATTAGCATTCGTTGCAACATGCATAATATTTTTGGTCTGATATGTGGAAAGTAGGGGCTGAATACTTGCTTTTCACAGGTTTATGAGCTCCAGATGCTTTGAATTTATTTGCCCGTTTGTATCGATTCTTTTTCTCCTGAGCCCTCGTTTGAATTATTGCCATTTTGGGGTGTTGTTTGCCCTTTACTATAGGTTTTTTTGTGCAAGATTTCACTTGTAATTTCTTTATAGGTGTTTTTTATGGTTCTTTGTAACCTTTCTTTCATTTAATATACAGGCGTAGCCCCACATTTAAAAAAAAAAAAAAAAAAATTAGTAGCGAGACGTTCTTTTGCTCCCTTTTCCCTGCCAGATTCATTTTTTATATCTTTATTAGTACTCTACTCATAACAAATAGACAAAGGTATAAAAAAAGGAATGCAAGAGAACTCCTCTCCTACCATTTTTTACACTACTAAAACCCCATACATTGTTCTTCACCTGTACCAATCCTTTATCCATGCCCAGCTCAGAAATCCGACCAAGTCCCCCTACTCGTGTGAAGCCAACGTCCCTACTATTGAGATAGTTGCTACTTAGTTCTTGCATGTTTGATATTCTTGTAACTTGTATATTTTTGATGATTTTAAATATTATTACTTTGATTATTATTTTTGTCTAACATATTTTAGAAGAATTATTTTTCTCCTGTGTGTACTAACATTTCAAAAAAATCACTCTGAATTATTGAAGACTTCAAATCAAGATCAATTTAGAGTTTATTGTAATTGAAGTCTATATTTTTCATTTTATTCAGTCTAAAAAAGTGTAATTGTAATTGAGTAACTGAGCACACACACATCGGGGGAGAGTTTAAAATTCATATTTTTTTAAACTGATCGTACTGTACGATATCACTTTGTACGGGACGATCTGGCCAGTTATTTTCCTCGACGAGTAGTCGAATGAACATAAATAAAAAATTTTCTAAGTATGGATTAGATGGGATGATCCCAGTTCTTACATGCTTTCACGAGTATAAAACTCTCGGGTCTATTCTCCCTCAAAAAACATTTTTCAGAATGAATCATACGGGACGATCCCAGTTCATACATGCTTTCATGAGTACGAAACACTCGGGTCCGTTCTCGCTCAAAAAAAATTTTCTAAGTATGGATTGTATTCCAGAGTATAAAATTGTGAGGTCCCAGTTCGTCCCGATGTTTCATGCATACCAATTTGATTCAAGAGTTTAAGTCATTTTGGTTTATTATTCATTGCTTGCAATCAACACCTCCATCATTAGCTTCGATTGAAGAACTATTGCAATATCTTGTACATCATTCTTATTTGTTTGTAATTGATGGTTAATGAGATGTAGGGATTTTTTCCAACCTCACCAAGAGTTTGTATGTGCGAGATTTGAGACATTGTTCACCACCAATCATTGTAGTTCATTAGATTAGAGTATTTCATGAATCATTTTGGAGATATAAAAGTACAAGTCTTTATAAACTCCGGTTCACATTCAAGTTCACTTTTGTTCACTGTACTTAGTTCATTTGAGTTTGAATTCACTTAAGTAATTTGTTGCAAGCCCAAGTTATATTCATAGTCCACTGCTGTCTTGCAAAGTTCAATTGCATGTTCAAATCAGTGTGCAAGTTCAATCCAAGTCCTTTGTATTCTTGTTCGATTCAAGTTCTTGTCCTTTGCACCAAGTCCATTTGAGTTCAATCAAGTTCACTAGCAAGCTCATTTTTTTGTTCAAGTTCTTGCTTGCATTTGAATTCATTCACATTCAAATTTATTTAAATTTAAGTATCTTATAAACCATTTAGTGTCCAAACAATGTCCAAATAATGTCCAAGTAAAGCTCCAAATTGCCCCAAGTATGATCTTGTGTTTACCCGAAATTTCGGCAGCCTTCCGGCGTCTCCCCCATTTAGGGGAAAACTACGGAAAACTGGGCCTCCCGCCATTCTAGAGAAAAGCGTGCACGGTAGGTGCCCTCGGACGAGGACACCGCGACCGTAATAATTTTTATTCCCCACCACGCCAGAGAAAGGCGTGCATGGGTTGCGGACACTATTTTAAAATAAGCAATTTTATATTTGACCCCACCTCGCTGTAGGCGTCGCACCGGGTTCCCTTCCCACCACTATAATTAATTATAAATAATTACTCATTATTAATTAACAAATTATAATTAATAATTAATTAATACTAATTAATAAATTATAACTAATTCATTATAATTATAATGAATTAATAATTAATTATAATTAACAATTATAACTAATTGATAATTAATTATAATTAGTAATGAATTAATTAGTTATAATTAACCATTAATTATAAAAAATATTAATTATAATTAGTAATACCTAATTATAAATAATAATAAAAATAAAATCCCCCTCCTCCCCCTCTTGGCTCGGCCTGCTCACGGGATTAGGCTGAACAGGCGTGCGAAAGGGAGAACGTTACCTTCACAGCAACCGAGCTCTCGGTTTTGCTTCCGATCAAAATGTTGTAACTTCCGATCCCAATAGGAAAGGGAACTCGTCGCTGGAGCCAAGCCGAACAGCCACGACAGGATCGGAGTAGAGGGTGGCGGGAATGGAGGCGTCGGCAGTGGAGATCGGCTCAGGCAAAGCTTTCCTTCTCTCTCTCTCTCTCTCTCTCCTCTCTCTCTCTCTCTCTCTCTCTCTCTCTCTCTCTCTCTGCTTCTCTGAGATCGGGATCGGCACAGGCAGAGAAAGGATCGGAAGCTTGCGACTGTGGGAGAGGAGGGAAGAGCAACGGGGTTCGGTCATGTTTTATAGAGGCGAATGGGGTAACGATCAAGGCCGCCGTCGCAGGAATCACGGAGAATCGACGCGAACGGCGCCGAATCGGCGCGATTTCGGCAAGGTTTTGAGGATCCGACGGGAAACGAGGTATTTTTTTGTCGTTATTTTTGTCTTCCTTCTGGTATTATACGAAGGTCAACAACTGCCGACAAAGATCCTTCTGTCAGGTTGGTTCGCCTACCTCCTATGACTAAATAGATCAGGGACCATGATGGTCCGGGACGACATAACCATGTGATCTTGATCGGGTCCATCTTCCATTCCCCCACCATATGCTTTAAGTGTAAGATAATGAAATTTCTAATTTTAAATATCAAACCTCCAAATTCCTAAGCCCATGCTGCTATTATATGCCAGATACTACATATCTCTACGTATCTGATTGATGACTAGCCTTAATCAAAAGTTCTTTCTCATGATCGGGAGGGGTAATTAACTATAAGGGCTTGCACCTATAGGAAATCAGAACTCAGATCATAAAGTCTTCGCAAAATGAGGGCGAAATATCTAGGTAGTGTCTTATATACAAACCCATCTGCCTTCCAAAATTTACCCCGAAACTTGATGCATTAAAACTCCCCTCGAAAGAAAAAGAAACAATGCGGGCGAAGGCAGGGATCGAATTTTCGGAGCCCACACAACTATATTATTGTAGACTTGTGCCATTAACCACTCAACTGTCATTACTTTTCTGTTGTGCCAACCTGGATTGAATTAGCTATATATATATATATAAGAGAGAGAGAGAGGGAGAGAGAAAGAGAGAGAGAGAGAGAGAGAGAGAGAGAGAGAGAGAGAGAGAGAGAATTGTCCAAATTGGTTGCATGTGAATTTTTAATTGAACAAGGAAAAGAATATGCCACTTTGCAATAAGATATTTTTACCTTTTTTGGAAATTTAATTTTCCTGTGTAGTACATAAAAAGACAAGCAAATGCAAAAGGAAAACAAGCAATAATAAATCCAATTATCCCCAATTCATTATAATGAAATCCATAGTAGTCTTTCAAGAAAGCAGCTAGTGCTTTGGTTTCTCCAAATGCTGTAATTTCTTGGGACACATCTCCAAATTGAGAAGTAACCAAACCATTTAGAGTCCATTGTGTTGGACAAATCATGTAGAGCCAAATCCACCATCCAGGGATATGCTGTCTCAAATAAAAAAATGAAGTTATGTTTAAATCAGAGTTTATTCCTCTACTAATTTAAAGCTCATGAAAAAATATGTGATCAATGTTAATCATGTTTTTGAGGAAGCAATTTTGAATTTTAATAGTTCTTTTTTGGTAGTTAGAGAAGACTTTCTTATGTCTAATATTTAAATGCTTATAAAGTTAATTTTATGAACAAAAGCATATGTGCATTACCGATTTTGGAATCATGAATCCAGAGAACAGGTTGAGAATTGAGTAAACTGCTGATGCCAGTACAGCAGCAACTTGAACATTTGGGCTCAATGACATTATCAGCATTCCAAGGTAATTGTAGTACAGAAGCGTACAAAACATTAAATAGAAGTACCAGAACAACTTGTTAGCAGACCAAGAGTAACCTATTGTTGGATATGTGATTATCGTGTATGTTGCTGCGAGAAATAAAATACAAGGGACTTCTACAATAATCTGCAACATAAAATAAATGGATTGGTCAAAATACAAGGGAATTTATTGTAAAAGATGCAATTTGGATATTTGAATTAACTGGTGACACAATTCTTTACCTGGGCCAATGAGTAGATGTATGAAGAGTACATCCCAGCAAATCTTTCTCTGTAGAAAACAAGCCTTTCTCTTGCTATAATTGGTAGAACTGTTGTGCAATTGTTTATGCCTAAGAAGATCGTGGCAATGTACATAGATCCCACTATGCTGGTCAGTTCTTGCTCATTGTTTCTACAGATCAAAGAAAAAGGTTTGCTTATTTGTGAAGTTCTGCAAGCTTTAACAACAATTTTGTCAAGTTGATAATTGTGCAAATATCAGAATATGGTGTGAATGAAATACAACAGGAGGCCAAGAACATTCTTTACTTATGGAGAGTGTTTTAATTTATTTTATCGATTTTGTCATTCCGACCCCACAATGAGATAAAGGCTTGTTTTTTTTTTTTTTTTTTTTTTTTTTTTTTTTTTTGTTATTGTTGTATGTAAAAATTGGCAAGTAATACATGCATTTTCTCTCTATAAAAAGCATAAAAAAAAATAATTTGTTTCATTCAATCTTCTATTCTGATTTCTTGGTTTCAATGGTTGTGAGAATCTCAGTTACTTTCATCTAAAATCCTCAGCATCTTAAACGTTCCTATTTTGAAGTACATGTTCCTTCTTCAAAATGGATCTTAAATGTTCTATTAGCGATGCATTTTTTTCTTTTTCATTAATCTTCCTTCTAGTAATATTTTGTAAGCAATATTGTCTTTAAATGACTATAGTTAGTACAGAATGTTGATAGAATGAGAAATGCAAAACAAATTGACTTTGGCACATGAACATGATGTGTAATATTTTTTCCACTTGACTTCCTGCTAGGAAGCTACATATCATGGATGTTTGTCAGATATGGTAGTTTTTCCCTATTTTCCTAGTTCTTTATTCTAGGCGAGTCTGCATTGCTAAATAATTATCTGTTTTTGCCACATCTTTTGATGCTTATATTTATCCATTGGCATTATGCAGTTGGACCATTTTTGCAAAAATGGTCCAAATAGAACATTTGAAAGGCTTTATTGCCTACCTTGAGGTATTTAATTCTTCATTTCAACCCTGCTATATGATAATCATGAAATTTATGAAGAACTCGTAGTTTTATTTTCTGCTAATTTTCCATGTTATCTAAGCATATATTTTTCTTCTTCATTTTTTTATACCCTACTTTTTGCATCTAATAGCTTGTACTTAAATGTGAAGGTAAGCATAAAAATATTTTATTTTACTTCAAGTTTTTTATGTGCATGTCTAATATCCTGATAGAGGTATAGTAGGTGATTCATGCAATTTCACCTATAGTGACCATTGAATTTCTTATGGCATTGTACCAACTAAAAAAGAGATTTAAATAGCAATATAAACTTACATTTTCTTGCCTTTCTGCCAAAAGAGTGCCGCAAACAACACTGATAAAATTGTCGCAAATGTAAAGCGCACGATATTGTATGTTGGGCTTCTCCAATATGACATTGATAATTTCCAAAGGCATGCTTTAAGCTGGACCAATCTATTGTGGGGTTGATGCTTTCGAATTTGAATTTCACTAGGATTCTGTGGCGGGGTACTTAACTGCTCAACTAACTCTTTACATGCCCTGTGTATAAGGGTAAAATTGAGAAATAAATATCATGAGCACATTTATGTGGATGGACTTGGAACACAATAATCTTTTATCAAAAGGAAATCTTTGCTTAGCGTTACTTTAATTTGATTTATAGCTCAATTTTAAAGAGATACCTTCAATAAGCACTCCCTATGTCAAAGCTCAAAATAAAAAGGATGATAAATTGAATATAATATAGGTTCTTAGAAATAAATCTCACATATTAGCATAGATGGACAATAGGTCTTGGCTATATTTAAGGGTATCAATTTTAGGGAAGTTATCACAGGCAAGAAAATTTTTATTATGGTCCTTGCTGAACTGTTTATATAGTATTATTATTGCATGAGCTATGGGAGTTACAAGGGCTTAAAACTAAATTTAGGATCCTAAAAAATTGAAATGTGCGGTACTTACAGATGCAAAGGGGAATCGTTGTAGACATCAGCAAAATCAATACCTAGGCATTGTTCCATTGGACCTGAGGTAATTTCTAGCATCCATGTTGCTGGATTGTAGTTATCTTTTATTTTTGGAATGCCTGGAATATTCTGTAGAAAAAATATTATAGTTAAATGCCAATCCAATGATTTAGAAAATCAGTTAGAGCTCATGTGGTTGCTAGTAAATAGAAACCATGTTTTAGAAATGATAGATTTATTTTTAATCATTTTATGTATGAAAATAAAATCATCACATTTAAGAGATTTTGACGGTGTTCGTAGATTTTAAACCCATATTAATTTCTAATTCCATCAAACCAAACGATAGAATAATGTAAATTCAGTGCTTTCAAAAAATATTTTTTAACTTCAAGCAACAAAATAAGCCCATACTACGTTCAAGCATAAAAGAGTGAAATAGAGGAATAGGAAACATTTAGTTCCCATATAAAGGCATATGATTTAGGTTTTATTTGGTTTGAAAGCTTCTTTAAAAAGCAGTGAGAATTTTTTTGTAATAAATAGAGGAATAAGAAATCTAGTTCAAGAAATTTTTGCACCAGAAAACTGCTTTAAAAATAGTAAAAAAAAATTGTTCCAAATGAATCCTTAGTACGTAAAATGCTTGGACTATCAAAAACATTGTACTAGATCATAAAGATGTAAGGAAACAATTCAAATTAATATTAGCTGCATAATACAATTTCATTATATTGAGAATGTTAGTCGATATGATGCATACTCGAGAAGATCAATCAAGCTTAGTTGCACAATATTTGCTTGCTTGATGGATTTTTTTTTCCCCACTAGTTTTTAATGAACAAGGTTAGCTTCACCCTTTAGGGCTTTTTAGAACTTATAACACCTATAAAAAAAAAAAACTTGAAGAATATGAGCAATATGATGATTGTTTTTTGGAAATTAAAAGTTACACATTTGCCTATCTTCAGAATGTCTATATCATGGAAATGACCGATTATTCCTTCTAGTGAAAACTGCATTTTGTACTGGTATTGTCATCCATTTCTTTAACTCGTTCCCTTCCTTAAACAATCAAAATTTATTTGCATCGCCTAAAAACAACATTTAGTGATTGTTTTCCTTTAGGCTACCTTGATGATATATTTTTAAACACTTGTTGGGAGTACAAATTTATATTTTGGATGTCCAAAATATAATTCTACTACATTTTTTTTACAAAATGGAGAAGCAAAAAGGTGATTAGTTCAGTTCTCCAAGATAAAAAAATTGCCAATTGGTGCATATCAAGTTTGTTAAGGGGTTTGAGAGATATTTGACAATCGTTTTCATTAAAACTTTAATTTTTTCTATTATATTCAAGCAAACAAATTAATGATTAATTGAAATTGAACTTCTCATCTTGTTATGAAAAAATCAATATTTGTTTCCAATTTAGTATTGTGCCATTTTAGAAGAGGTACAGTTCATTTTTATTGCCACACATTTTTCCTTTATTATTTAGGTCCATTACCTGAAATCTACAGTGCGATAAATTTCTTTCTGTTGTATTTTCCTGAATATCATAATTCATCTTTTTCCTCGTAATGCATGGTTTTTTTTTTCTTTTTATGCAATTCTAACTTTTTTTCCCTAAATACACTTCTATATTTTGTGTCACTTGTGAGTGCAATACAACATTTCATTATAGAATTTCTTGCTTACAGCTTTATAGAGTATACAACAAGAATAAATTTTAAATTTTTCTATCAAAAGCTTACCTCAAAATATTCAATAAGTTTCCTTGAATTTTGACCTAATTGCCCGTTAAAGATTATCTGACCGCCTTTCTTCATTAGAAGTAACTACACCAAAAAAAGCTATCTGATCAGGATTAGCAAGCATGAAATCTTATATAAGATAGCTGAGGAGATGAGCAATGATTTATCTTGACATGATAAAATCAAGATAAATTTTTTTGAGTGTTTAACATAAAGATACAACTTATGTTTGATTACAATAGTAGTTTTATTTAGCAAAGGTAGGATTTCTTGGAACCACTTAGAATTGATGGGGGAATTTAAACTTATTCATATTGTGCTTTGATGAATTCTGGTTGTATGTAGACATTTTATTCTTGTGGAACATTAAAAACTAGGAGTATTTGCAGCTTACAAATGTTTAATCCTAATACTTACAAGACATAGACATGATATGCGATAAAAAGATGTACGGAGTGAGAATGGTTATGGAAGAAGAATATACTAAATTACTAAAAGTACACTTGCAGCCATTTTCAAGATGATTGATATATAACCCTAACAGTACATTACAATAGCAAATCATGCACACAATAAAATTACACTTTTCAGCTTATTTTGGAAATTACTGTTTTGTTTAACGAGGCTAGATGAACTATTGGTAATGCACTTGTTGAAGCTTTCTCATCTTAAGACCTAAACAAATAATCCTGAAATTTCCATAAACTTACTCATATGCTTATAATTAAGATGAAATCCTTTTGTGCACTAGGAAATATTTGGGAATTTTTATCGACTAAAATAGAACCTCATCAAAACTATGTAAACAGAGTGAATAATGCAACTCTTATAAATGGCAGGGTTGGGGGTAAATAATTGTATTTTATTTGCAAAATTTATACTTGATGTAGCATATGATTAGGTATTTTCAAAGATACATTGTTTATGCTTTCATTATCAAAGCTAGATTGCAACATTGGCATGCATACTCCTTAATGATAGGTGCATGCCAATGAAGATTCATGTTTTCCTAGAAGAAAAAAAAAACAAAAAAAACAAAGAGATAATGTCAACTATCAATTCTTCATTTCTGTTATTGATAGTTCATATTGGTCTTCTAAATTATGAGGTCTTATAAAATATGCCTATGAAATTTGATGGTTAACATAATTGGTAACTAAATTATATGATTTTTTTGCATTATAGATTAGTATTTTTCATTTGTTGCTATGTTATAGATAGCTTATTCAATTAACAAGCACTATTAAAGTACATTCACATTGACACCAAAATAGTATATTTCATGGGATATCAATATCTTCCATTTATTTATTTTTTCCTTATAAAAATGTAGTAGTAATGATGAGAATGCAATTACAACTTCATTATTTCGATGGCTTTCACACAACATATATTTCTTTTGCAATAACGTTTTCATTCAGAAGCATGAAAATGCAGCCAACATTACCTCATCAAAAGATTCGAATATATTAATGCTTGGCTGGTGGATTGTGCAAACTACTGTCCTTCCAGTCTCAACAATACTCTTAATAGCACGCATAACAATAGCTGCTGCTCGTGCATCCAAACTTGATGTTGGCTCATCCAAGAATATAATTGATGGATTAGCAACTAACTCAACAGCAATTGTTAAGCGTTTTCGTTGTTCAATAGATAATCCATTGATGCCAGGTACTCCAACTAGAACATCTTTTACTACATCAAGTTCAATTGTTTCAAGAACAAGTTGAACAAATTCCTGCATAACAAGTCAAATCATCAACTTGAAGTTGCAATGTATGATTTTTTATTATTTATTCAAAGAATGTTTTTCATTAAAAAGAGATGAGGTCATGGAAGTAAATAAATTCTGTCATATTGCATGTATTTTATATCGATTAGTAAATAACATAGAACTAATGAAAGAATTTATCACTTCATGTTCCACTTAAATCATGAAGCATCATTGAAATGTGGTTGGCATTACATCGATTTATTACCATATCTAGAAGTGTGGAAATCAATTAATATACCTATAAACCCTAACATCTATAGCATATTTTAAGAATATAAAAAGAAGAAGACTGCCTTACAACTTTTGTTTGTGGATCAATTTCATTTGGGAGTCGCAGCCAAGCTGAATACATGATTGACTCTTCGACAGTAATCTGAGGAGAATGTATATCATTTTGTTCACAATAGCCAGATATCCTAGCAAATGTTTCTTGTACTTTTGGATATCCCCCAATTTTTATTTCTCCTTCAATAATTCCACTAGTTTTCCTTCCACAAAGAACATCCATCAAAGTTGTTTTCCCAGCTCCACTAACACCCATTAGAGCAGTAAGAATACCGGGCCTCAAGGCACCCGTGATATTTTGCAGAAGTTGTAGCTTTTTTGGCATAATATTTTGTTCCTTCATAGCCTGAAAGAGAATGCGAACATCAAACAACAAACTTCATGAGGAAAGCTCATTGGCCCATAGTATTTTAGAAGAGAAAAAATTTAGCTAAAATTTTGAGTTTCTTTCTATCTAGTTGCCACATAAATTTAATGTAAGACTGTAAATACCTTAGGTGTCTCAATGAAATATTGGATGTCTTTAAATGTCATTGTAAACGGCTGAAAAGGTATGACCATTCTACCTATAAAAATTATAGATATACGAACAGTCAATGAATAGATCTTTGTCCCACATCTTAATATGAAAGTATGTAATTGTAAAGGGCATGATAAAGAATTCAACAGAAAATATAAATGGATGCACGTGGTGTTTTCTACACCTTCCGAAAATACTGCTGTGGTAGATCTTCTAGTTGACTTATTTTCCAGTTGTTCATTGATTTTAGGTTTTTCGCCTTCTTGTGATAGTTTCTGAGTTGAAATGGAAGCCTTAGAAGACCCTGGATCTATATAGGAAAAGCTACTCAGTATCCATCTTTTTTTTTTTTTTTTAATATTGATTCTATCATGTTAGAAAACATACTATTTAGGTAGGTAAGAGCTATAGTAATCCCGATATTTAGAAGTATTGCGAACATAAATAACGCTCCTATAGACAACCAAAGGAAGTAGCTTTTAAAGTCTGTTCCGTGGCTCTTTAAGACTTGCTGCCCAAGTGTCACATTTCCAGTAGACGACTATAGTGAATGACAGAAAATACATCTTATTTATTTATGCACCAGAAGGTTCTGCAAACTTTTTATGAATTGATTGGATTTATAAAACAAACCTTTTGCCATCTGTGAGCATGAAATTCATTGATAGATAGACCTATTTCAGCATATGTTGCTGGAGAGAACCAAAACGCCCAACGAAGCCAAATTGGTAAAGAGTCTACAAGGAGAAAGTTGGCTGAGTATGCAGATTTGTTTCATCGAAAGTTGGTTGAGTCATACAAAGTCTTAACTATAAACATAGATTTGTTTCATTCTTACATTGTGGTAGAACAAATCCGCTGAACATAAATGAAAATAGTAAAGACAAACTGCCGGAAAGTGCAGCTGTATGTGGTCTTCTTGTAATTGAAGCAAGGAAACGGAAAAGTGATGTTGATGCCTGATGCAGCCCAAAAAATAGTAGGAATTGACAAAAAAACCTATGAAAGCATGATTAGTAATTGAAGAGTTAGAGCTGAGAGAGAAAGTCTGGAACTGAAACCTTAGAAGCATAATCAAAGTTATGTTATAAAGGCTTAGTGAGGTAGAAGGATCAAGGAGCACTTGCCTTTTTGACTCACGGCTGTATCCGATACCATAATATGTTAGGGATGTCCAAATGAAGGATTCCACAATAGAAAATGGTATCTTCAATAAAGCAGCTGGAATTGTGTATGCCCATGGAGGATAGAAATGAAGATCTCTTTGCTTGTAGAACACCGGTAGTCTAGCAATCGTCAATGTCAACTCTGCAATCCCATTGGTCATAAGCCTAATGATTGCATATCTCATAGAACCAAGAAAGTAGCTTGCTTGTACTAAATTAACATCCCTTTTTGTTTGAAGAAACGCAGTCATTGTAATAATTGCAACAATAGTGATCTGAGGAAAAGCAGAAATGGAGGTTTGAGAGTGCAAGGGACATAAATTGCACATAAACAGGTATAAAATATTGGATTTTATAGATAGAGGAATTCACAGAGGAGGAAGAGCTATTAATTCTCAAACAAGTTATTACCTGGATAGTCTTAAACAAGTAAACAAATGAGTTCCGTTTCAAAAGTAGAATTTCTCTTTCCATACACGTTTTGAGTAGTTCCCACTTCATAATAGAATGCGTGTTAAAGGCTACAACACTGTCATTCGACTTGGTTTTGTCATGTTGTTCAGAAAGCTCCTTTTTTAGCTTCTTCCCAATATCACTCAAATGGAATTTATCTGAGAAACTATCAGCAGAAACATAACTATAAGGTTTGTCTTCAAGATACCAATATTGCGCTTGATCTTTTTCTGAAATGATCTGCGAGAAGATAAGATGAATTAAAATATAATTTTTTAAGAATACTGCAAATATCATTAAGAGCTAATTAAGTTTTAAAGGACATATTTTTTAGGTTTACCTCTTGAAGGAAGTCTGCAATGCCTTTTCGTGGAGGGCATTTAAACCCACAATCCTCAAAGAACCCTAGTATAAGCTCTCGAGGTCCATGGTAAATTATTTTTCCTTTATCCATTAAGATAATATCGTCAAAAAGACTAAAAGTCTCTGGTGTTGGCTGAAGTAGAGAAATTAAAGTTGTTGCTCCTGTAATATGCACAAACTGCTGGATGCAAGAAATGATCTGAAATGTTGTGGAGCTGTCTAACCCATTTGAGATTTCATCCATAAAAAAAACTTGGTTCGGACCAACCATCATCTCACCTGAAATACGTAATATATATGAATATATGCAATAAGGTCTAGTCAATCGAACTTAAACCATGACCAAATCTTATTAATGCTTTAACTTGTATGTATTAAGTATGTTGCAAAATCAAGTGCAAACACTTTAAGTTCAAGTATTAATAGAGGTAAAGTTTTTAACTATCATAGTAAGAATATTGCAACCTGTTGTTAACCTTCTCTTTTGACCACCAGATATCCCCCTTCGTATGGCATCCCCAACCAGAGATCCCGAGCATGCCTCTATTCCAAGGATCTGCATTTTAGCAAGCATAATGAAAAAATCCATAAAAGAAATATTACAATATGGAGTATTAATGGTAAGCAATATCAGTGTAATTGGGAATAGCTTACAATTCAAAAGATCATTAGTTCAGCAATTATGTTGAGTTACCTTCAAAATGTAATCTGTTTGAAGAGTTTCTTGTACTCCCTTGACAGCTACTGCCTGTTATAAGCATCTGAATGAATTTGATATCTCAAAGAATGCAAGCATCTACTGATTTATTATGTTGCAAAATAACGAGTCTATATTGATGCACTATTTCCTTACTTGTGTCGGAATATAAACTAAATAATCTCCACTTGCATGCATACATATTGTTAGATTTAGAGTCTAATAATCCTCAAACACCTTGATATAAATGTCTTCGATAAAATTTAGATGCGAGCTAATACTAATCTAGTTGTAAAATGTTAATATTATGAAAAATAAATAAACCATTTATCATTCATGATCCACAATTTGTATATGCTTCACAAAACTAAAGCTATCTAATCTTCATATCAGTAGTTTCACTATATATGGTATAATATGCTTTGTTTTGGAAGGCAATTTGGGTTTCAGAATGTACTTTCATGTAAGTGTCTATATTGGGATTTGGGATTATGTGAGCTTGCTTCTCACGTCTTTCCACCTCCTCCATGATATCTGATGCATGAAAAGACAATCTGGTTATATTTGCTCAATATAAATGTAAATAGTTCGATATTAAGTATGATTATCTTGTTCTATGAAAGAAGAATACAAGGAAAAAAGTTCTTTTTACCTGCCCTGCATCCTATACCCTGAAATCTTGCTGAGAAATCAAGTGTTTCTCTTACTGTCATTTCAGGAATATGTTGGTCATGCTGACTTATATAAGCTGCTGTCTTAACGGGGTCAAACTTCTCTAGTTTCAAGTCATTGTAAGTGATCTCCCCACTTACCTACGCAAAAAAAAAAAAAATCTTGTAAAGATTATTTCATGTTATATTACTAATTATTTAAATAGAACTAGCATTATACAGATGATCACGCCCTAGCCTTTGTATCACTTGAAGCACAAGGTATAGGAAATTGTTTCTATTTTTCATAACACTTCCTGATAGAACTACATTTTTATTTTGCTTTTTCCCCGGTTGAGGCTTTCTTGTACTTTGTTATTAGTGGAATTCTCAATTTGTTAGGGTATTCTATCACATAAAGAAATATATTTGGGAGTTTTTAAGTTAAATCAAATCATGCTCAACTAATTTCTCTGAAAAAGGTAATTGCATTCTCCATGATGCTACATTCTAATTTGTGAATGAAGCCCGATTACTACAGTGTCACCAAACGTATTTTTCCGTTCAAAATGTAGTGTCTGTTTTACTGGTGCAAGTCTTTGTTAGACCGGTCCACTGGACCGGTCCAGCCGGTCCAGGCGGGACCGGCAGTTCGCAAAAAAGAACGAAATCTCCGCCTCCTGCGGAGATCGGGCGGCCCGTCCGCTCAAATAGAGCTTTTAAGGAAGCGTTTTTTAGGGTTTTGAGAGGGAAATTTGAATGTAGGGACTGTTTTGGGATTTCCTTTTGATTGGTATGCATTAAATAGATGTTTTTCCTAGGGTTTGGGTATCTTGAATTTGGGCTGAAATTTGAGATCTCTTAGATTTAGGCTCTTTGGGCTCTAGCGGCGTCTAGAGATTTGGGAGAGATCGATCCTCCTCTCGAATTGAGGATCAATTGTATCTTGCTCTTTTATTCATCGTCTAAGTGGAATACAAGTCTTTTCTTGAGTTTTCTCTCGTATTTTCCCGAACAAGTGCTGTTTTCCTGCTGTAAACAGCAGAAATCTGCTGTTTTCCTGCTGTGGACAGCCATTTGGCTGCTGTTGGTTCGCCGATTTTGGATAGGTTGCTTGTGAATACAAGCACTTCCTATCAGTCTTGTCATTTTCTTGAGGGAACTAATATGTTTTGCCACAATTTAATTAAGTGGCTTATGAATGCTAAGTGAAATAAAAAAACATCTTTTATTTCAATAAATTAAGATTCTAATGCTCATTTTGACTACCTGTTTCTATTTATTGAACAGCAAAGTAATTTTACGGTTTTAGGAAAACCAATAATGATACAAAGTCAACTTGTATTAAAGTTGAAAGGAAGCTTTCATACAATGGTAGCTCAGCTCTTACGGCACTCCAAACAATAATTTTATCATGAATTATTGAAACAACAATAGAAAAATTATTTATTAAAGCCATTCGTTTTACGATAACAAAACAAAATACCATATGACACAACTATGCACTGGAGGAAACAATAATGCCAAATGAAGCATAATGTTAAAAGCCAACCTAAGGATTTTACACCATAGAAGCCATGCAAAACAAGAAGGAATGAAATGAAGTAACGAAAATGAAAATATTTGATTTGAAAAATCAATCAGGCAAATAAAAAACCGTCAAATGAACCAAAACTAGCATCAAATTTACTTCAATTTGTATACTTCGTAGCATTCTCACCCAGCATTAAGTTTTAAAATTCTTTCTTTGAATGAGTAGAATAAATGATTTGGCTATAAAATATCAACCTTTGAAAACAAAAGCTGAAGTAATTCACCTTAAGAAGCTGACTAACTTTGCCTGAAAGGGATAACAGCAGTGTTGTTTTTCCACAGCCTGGAGGTCCTAGTAAAAGAGTCATCCTGCAAGGGTGTAAAACGCAAGAAAAGGAAAGTGAGACTTTTTTTGCTTATTGGAAAGCATTTGTTTATAAATAAATTAGTTATTTGCTAAATTAAATGCCTTCACAAATATTGGTTATTAGTCTAATCCTTTGGCTTACGTATTTTTTATTTTTTCCTTGGGCTTACGTATTTAACATGCAATTAAAGTTTTGCTTAGGTTAGCAGTTTGTTGACAAAACTTGAAATAAAAAAAGAAAGTTGAAACTACCATAGTCAGATGTTGCTACCGGGCAAACATTTATCATGTGTAAATTAATTATATATTATTAGGAATTTATTATGTAAAAAGAGGTCAAAGTAGAAGGAGACATAGACTGTTCTTTTACAACATATTTCTCAATTGAAATTTACATTTTGCCAGTTTATAATATTTTCCATTTAAACTAGAAAAGCATATAACTATTTCTTTGGATCATTAAGATCATTCCAAATAAAACTCTTACTTGAGAGAGAGAAACTCCAGCCGTTAGAGAGAGAAAGTTTTGAAAATTTGAATTTTCGAAACCGATTTCCGTTCTTGCTTCTCAAGATCGGAGGAGAACGATGGCGGCGGATTGCCGCCGGCAAGGGCATGAAGGAGAAAATGGTTATGAAGGGAATCGGATGTCGACGTCGTCTTCTACGAGGTCTCCGTCGCTTAAGTTAAATTCAAAAATCATCAATTCTGGTGATTATTCGTCAAATGTGAATTCAACTCAGAGAATTCAAAGTCCTTTGATTAAACGTTGTCAAGGACCGTTGGTGATTAAGGAGGTATCTGATTTATCTCCCTTGAGGATTCAACATGTTGAAGGCAAAGGTAAGGTTCCAGCTGAAATTTTGAATTCGGTTACACCTAATAGTTTAAAATCTACAGCTTTTCCATCTGATCATACCGCTTCAACTACTGGAATGAAAATTTTTGTCAATCGTTTTGGGAATTCAAATGCAATCCCTGGACAAAGTCGCAGCATGATAAATGCGAATTCCCGAAATCTGTTTTACACAAATCTTCATTCAGAACATGATGTAAATACTGAGATAAGTGTAGAGAAGCTGAATGATGTAAGGCCAAAGAACTCGGATGGCTTGGATAATGTCAACCCCTGGAGCAATAAACAATACATAAAGTTGGATTTCAAAACAGAGGATGTGGTCTATTCTGATGATGGTATTGCTGTTAAGCTGAATGAAGAAAGAGAGAAGATGAATTCTAAAGTTCTATCCAAATCTTTAGTTATTAAAGTTTTTGGTAATAATTTACCTTCTCATTTAGTAGCTTGGGAATTAAGAAGACAATGGAACCATTTCGGACAATTCCACTTTACTACTCTGGGTAAAGGATGGTTCTTATGTTCTTTCTCTTCAGAAGAAATGGTTGAAGCAGTGCATTCTAGTGGCCCGTGGTTTGTAAATGGACACATAATAGGTATGGAGAAGTGGACTCCTGAATTTAATACTTCTTCTATCAAGGGACTTTCTTCTCCTATATGGATTAGAATGTCCCATCTACCTTTACAATGTTGGGATGAGAAGAACATAGCATGTATAGCTTCAATAATTGGAAAACCAATAATGATGGATGGCAACATGTTCCATTGGGGGAGAAGAGAATTTGCAAGAGTGGAAGATTCTTAAAAAAAATGGAATATGAGAAGGTATCTAACTTTTGCTTTGTATGTGGAAAGATCGGTCATGTGAATAAGGAATGTGTTCTAAAAGAAAACAATCCTAAAATTTTGGATGCTGATAATGGAGGAGGTATTGATAAGAAAATGGAAGGAGCAAAAGACAATCCAACTGCACCTTCTTATGGTCCATGGATTTTAGTTAACAGCAAAAGAAGAAGAAATATTCCAAAGGGAAATTTTGAGATTAAACCAGCCACACTTAAATAGGTTAAAAAAGCTGTTATTCCTGTAGCAAATGAGAAGGAAGAGCAGATTATGGTAGCTGATGATGCAAGAAAAAATTCTTCTCTTGAGATTAACGGAAATCCATGTATTATGGATGATCATTTAGAAGATGGGGAGTTTATACCTGTACATAACAATGAATTATCTCAGGATAACAGCTTGACATTGGAGAAATTCTCAAACAACAGAGATGGGAAGGGTTGCCTGCGAACTCAAGTGAATCCTAAGGGATTACTTGCGAACTCAGGTATTCCCTATCAGGATTCAGAGGAAATTGTCAACAACAAATCTGGGATGACAGTAGAGAATACATTAACCTTGGAAAATCATTCGGTTAATAAGTTTTCTATCCTTCAATCAGTCAATGAAGATGGCTTGGATGATGTATCTTTACAGAAATCTTTGAAGAGTAAGGAAGATGTTATTGAAGATGGGAAACAGGTTATTGAAGCAAAAACTGTTAACAGCACAGTTGAAGTTGTTCCAATTTTGGATTATGGAAACATTCTTAATGGTGATGGAGGTAGTAGGAGGAAGGTTGGGGGCTACTCCCCAAATAAACTTTAATGAATTCCATAGCATTTTGGAATTGTATAGGGGCAAAGAAGAAAGAAGCCTCTCTATACATGAAGGAGTTTATAAAAGATCATAATGTCTTTTTTGTGGGTTTAGTAGAAACTAAAATTAGCACTTTTGATAAAGATGATTTTGATAAGATCATGGTTCCTAATTGGGATTTCTTCATTTTTCCCTCTGAGGGATTATCCGGAGGGATTATGATTCTTTGGAGAAATGATATTGCTTCATTCTCAGTTATCAAGACTGAGGAACAATGTATAATTGGTGATTTCAATGTCTTTAATCAAGGAAGATGGATGATTGTTACGATTTATGGGAGCAAGGAGGTACACAAGAGAAGTTTGCTATGGGAGTGCATTCAAGAGCAATCTAGAAGGAAGATTCCAACAATTATTGGAGGGGACTTTAATTGCATCTTATCTCAAGAGGAAAAGAGAGGAGGTAGGAAGTTTATTTTCTCTAAAGGTTCATTCGATTTGCTCAATTTTATGAATAAGAATGACTATCATGATATTGGAGTAGTTGGTCCAAGATATACATGGTGCAACAATAAAGGAGGAAGTGGAAGAATTCTTGAACGTTTAGATAGGTGCTTGTTGAACTCAAAGGCTTTTCAAAGTATCCAAATTCCGGTGGTAAGACACTTAGCTAGAGTGGCTTCTGACCACTGCCCTGTAGTGCTTAAATTATTTGAAGAAACTAGAAGAATAACAAGATCTATCAAATTCGAGGATGTTTGGCTTCCTTTTAAAACAACTGAGCACATTATTTCTAAAACATGGAAGAAGAATTTTGAAGGAGATGACATGGAAGTTCTCAATAAGAAGTGCAAGAGAGCTTTGAATGATTTATTCTATTGGAGCAAGAACAAGCTACAAGACTTCTCTAGTGAAAAGGATAGATTGAAAGCTGAAATTTTATTACTTCAAGAAGAAGAAGCAAGGGTTGGTTGGCTGGATGAAGATAAGTTGTGGAAATTAAGATCTAATGTTAGAGAATTGAATGTTATTCAAATACTTGAACACTTGGTGGAGACAAAGAGCAAAGGTGAAATGGGTGATGGAGGGAAACTCAAATACTAATTTTTTTCATGCCTTTGCCAATACGCCTTTGCCAATACTAGAAGAAATGCTAATTGGATCTCTCAAATCAAAAACCTTAATGGAGTGCTCACTGAGGACCCAATAGAAGTGGAAGGAATTTTTTACAATTTTTTTCAAGAGAAATGGAAGGAAAGATATTGCAGTCTGATCTTTCAAAAGCTTTTGAAGATGAAATGGAAGGAAAGATTGAATTTTTTACAATTTAATTGGCCGAAACCTTGGATGGTGTTGAATGAAGATGACAAGAACTTGTTGAAGAATGACTTCTCAGAAATTGAAGTTAAGGAGGCGGTCATGAAGTTAGGAAACAATAAAGCACCTGGAAGTGATGGATTGACACACTCAATTTTCAAAAGCTTTTGGAACATCATTGGAGGAGATGTATTTAAAGCAATTAGACTTTTCTTTTGTACAGGTAAAATGAGTAGTTTATGGAAGGATACTCTTGTAGTGCTCATTCCAAAAACTACTAATCCTTTAACTCCTTCATTCTACCGTCCAATGAGTTTATGTAACACAATTTATAAAATTGTGTCAAATGTGATCTTGCATAGACTAGTTTTTGTTATTCCTAAAATTATATCCGAAGATCATGTGGCTTTTGTAAAGGATAGATCCATTTCTGAGCATCTTTTATTAGCACAAGAAATCTTCAACAAAATGAGGTTTTCAAAATCTAGCAACGGTTTCTTGGCCATCAAATTAGACATGGAACAAGCATATGATAGTATGTGTTGGCTTACTTTGAAGAAAATGTTGATGGATTTAGGATTTCCGGACAGTTTTCTAAAACTTGTTTTGGACTGTGTTTCTTTTCCCAGTTTTTCAATTCTTATTAATGGAAATAGATCAAAATGGATAGAGGGTAAATGTGGATTTCGGCAAGGATGCCCACTCTCCCCTTTTTTATTCATTATTTGCTCTCAGCTTTTGTCTAATTCCTTTCACAGCAGGAATGATAATATGGGGATAAAAGTCTGCTCCAATGCTCCCAGAATTACACACCTTATGTATGCTGATGATGTTTTACTATTCTCATATGCAAGTTTAAAAAATGTAAAGAAGATTAAAAGTATTGTTAAGCAATACTGCAGTTGGAGAGGTCAGTGTATAAACAAGCACAGATCCTCACTGATTTTTGGAAATTCTGTACCAAGAAGAAGGAAGAGACAGATCTCTAAGCTTTTGGACTTCAAACTGGTAGAAGAGTTTGTTTACCTGGGAATTAAAATTGCATTAAGACGGTTAAGAAAGGAAGATTTTCAAGTGCTTCTAGATAAGACTGTGAAAAAAATGAATGAATGGAGTAGTAAACATTTGTCCCTAGCAGGTAGATTATGTTTGGTTAAAAATATTATTCTTACTCTACCGATTTTTATGATAACTCATACTCTTATTCCTTTAAAAACTTTATATGAGTTAGAAAAATTATGTAGAGATTTTATATGGAATAAAATGGATAGCATCCATGGGTTACATTATGTTACATGGGAACTTCTATGCACTCCAAAGAATTATGGAGATTGGGGTCTTCAATCTCCTATTTCCAGAATTGGTTCCCTTAGAGCAAAGTTTGCTTGGAACCTCATTGAGAAACCAAACACTCTATTAAATAGAAACTTGCTGGCCAAATATGGTAATTCATGGTGGAGTAAAGAAGATTTCAAAGGTGGATCAAACTCTTGGAAAACAATCATAAGTGGATGGAAAACTCTTAATAAATTTGTAAGATGGAGAGTAGTTAATGGTTCCAGCATAAGAGTGCTTCAAGATACTTGGGTTCTTGATAAAAGTCACCTTAAATGGCCTACCTTTGTAGGATGCATTGATGAAGATAATAATTCTCTTAATAATTTCATCAAAGATGGAAATTGGGATTTCTTCAAACTGAGATGTTTCTTTGGAGATGATCTTCTAAATATCATTAAGGATGTGCAGATCTATCAAGATGCTCCTCAAGATCAGATGGAATTAAAGCTACTTCATTCCAGTAAAATATTATCTGCATTGTTAACTGAAGACAAGCTGAGAAATTGTGCTTCTTTTATAAAATTCTCCTGGATTCAAAAGCTGAAAATCAATGCTCAGGTAGAATTATTTTTATGGAGATTATTTAATGATGCTATCCCGACTGAAGCTTTTCTTTTTAAAAGAAAACTCACTACTAACAGCTTTTGTCCTATGGGGTGTGGAGTGATTGAAGACCTTGATCATGTTACTTCTAATTGTTCTAAACTTCTAGAGGTTTGCAAGGTTATAAAAGATTGGGGATTCAATATTCCTCATTTCTGCAATTGGATTGAATTCAACGTTGGTCTAAGGAGATTAATAAAGGATGATTTAATGGCTGCAAAGCTTTATATAATCATTGTGTGGATGGTTTGGAACAACAGATGCAAGATTAAGCACGGAAAAACAGGAAATAGCAAGGTATTTATAGCTTCCTCCGTCCTTAGCTTTCTTATTTCTGCAAAACAGGATTTCTTCCACTCAGATCACTGGGATGCTTATCATTCCAATGGACTGCTCCTTAATTATTGGCATCCCCCTCCACCTGGGTGCTGAAAATTAATCTAGATGCAGCTCTTAAAGAAAATTACATGGCTGGAATCGTTGGTGTTGTTAGAGATGACAAAGGAAGATTGATCTATGCTTTTGGAAGGAAAAGAATGCATTGGGATAGTGCACAAATGGAGATATCAGCTTTCAAAGTTTTAGATGAAATATGTCATGAATGGACCAAAGAAGTTAAAGGGATTTTATTGGAAGGTGATAACAATAATGTTCTCCAATATCTTCATAACTTGTACAACAAACCGAAGATCAATAGAGAGAACTTGGATAAAGAAGATCTCTTATTTCTTGGTAAGTTCAATTACTTTATATTTAATTGTTTGACACGTAAGTGTAATAAGTTAGCTGATTATTGTGCTAACTTAGCTTTATCTTTTGATTTTGATTGGGATATGTTCATTGAGAATAACCTTCCTTCTTCCTTTGTAATTTTAGCAAAGGAAGAGAGTGATAGATGGTTGATTCCTCATTAGCTTGTATCTAGGCTTTTTTTTGGTGACTTTTTATTTATTATGCTACTTAGGATTTTCTCAAAAAAAAAATATAACTATTTCTTTTGAAAAGAGAAATTCACAGGTCTTGCAGGCGATAGTGAAATAATGGAATTGGAAACATCTTCGAGGATAAAAGTTTGGCCAGGATATTTAACGTAGGGAAATAAGAAGGTCACTCAGAAAACCAAAAAAAAAAAAATCAAGAATTTATGTTGCTAGAATTTTATTTAATTTCATTATATTTACATGTAATGGAAGGGGGATAATCACGTATGATGTAAAAGGTTGTATATGTTAAATTCATTTTGAAAACACTTCAGTCAATCCCAAATTGAGAACTCTAACAAAGCCTCCTCTCCCTGTTAATTTGCTATTATCCTCCTACAACTTCAAAAGGCCTTATACATACCCTTTAACCTCCCCTCATAAAATTGAGTCAAATCCTCACCAAAAGTTAAAAAATAAGCCTGCTTTCAGTTGGATTGATGGCAAGGTTATGGGGTGCTGGCAATTTGGCATTGGGTGACTGATAGGCTGGTCTATCTGTTCAGACTATGATGAGGCAGGCTTCCTGCATGCCTTCCTGGAAGCCCATGGCTTGTTTTTGAAACCTTGGTGGTTATTTCTTCTGTGTGTTAAAGGGTGGCTTTCGTATTTGGGTCTTCTCACTGATGTATTCTCTCCTCCAATGGATGGTTCAAGCATGTCAACCAGGCGACGATTTTGAGTCCAACATTTTGAATTATTTATTCTTTCTAGTTTACTTTGCATTTTATCGATTAAAGTAGTATTTTAAGTTGTCTTTTTCTCTTTTGGTCTTTTTTGGCTTTTGGTTATATGTCCCTTCTTCTTATGGAATAAAATTTATGTTTATATATATATATATATATATATATATTCCAAACCTTTAATTTAAAGGTTATCTTCCCTTACAAGAAAAGAAAACACCACCATTCATAGAAGAAATAATCAACGTCAAATCGTTCTTCTAGTTCTTGACAAATCAACCATTCTTTATCCTTCCACCATCCTTAGCCATTCCATCACTTTTCCACCAGCATAGAAGTCTTTCCACCTCTTCAACAATTTTCTAATTGAAATTTGATCATGATGAATCTCAAGATCATTGGACTAATTTTAAAATGAGTGAAATATGTCTAATCAATTGAAATTTATATTAAACTCATCTCAATAAATTTTTTTTTTTTTTTTTTTAAAAGACAAGATGAAGTAAGAAAAGATATAATTTGACATTTTTTGTGTTGAGGCAACGAATTCATGCGGCATCTCCAATTGTAGATTTCCTTTACATCACCGCTGGAAAATTTTTTATTTTGAAATCCAATTCATTTTTTAAATCACAAACAACGAAGCCATGCGTTTGCAATTTGGATTTAGTCAGTAAATTAGGTCAAATTAAAAAGATTAAGAAAACAACATGATATTGTTGAAGTTATGATTCGAAACTTACCTTGATGGTTTGATGACTCCACTGACATCTTTCAGGATGCTCACATTTACCTCTGATTTTAGCCCACATGCATTGGAAAACACCTTTGGATGTAAAGATCTCAATCCATTAGTATGCAAAAGAAACTTTTTTTTTTTTTTCTTAATAAAGATACCGTTGTTTAATACCTTAAGAAAGCCCTTCATGGCACTCCAAAGAGTAGGCACTGGCTTCCCAGCAACAACTTTGCATCTGGCTTCCACCGATAGATTTCTGTATCTTACTTCAGTGGTCGGTAGCTCAACACCAACTCTGAGAGTATAAATAGTGTTTATGTTATCCTAGAAAGTAATGTTCTGCTTTCCATTTTATTTAGATATTTAATGAATCCTAATTAAAACATTCCTCCAAGAAGTTTTTATAATTTATATCATTTGATGGATAAAATCTCTCATAAAATCATCGTCTCATGAGACTTTAACTAATTTAAATTTTAGGTTTTTTATTATGCTAGAGCAAGAAGCCTGATAAAATAAATATCATATTCAACAATATGCAATTGCATCTATATCAAAAAAATTCTAATATTTAATAAATTTGTTATTAATATATAACTTTAATTTTATAAATTTGTTAGTATAATGTTCAAATTTAAAATATTATTACACTAGATTAATGCTAAATGAGTATACTCCACTTGAAAGTTAAATAACCGCTCAGGAATTCAGCACAATCGGAATTATAGTTTAAATTTAAAGAATTAATATTCTCATCCTCGTTATAAGAATGAGCATGACTTTGGCATATAGATCAAAAATATTGAATTTGAACTTTGAATTATGATTATACCAATCTATTAAGATTTCGTTTAGGATGACTTTCTTAATATTTTTTAAAGTAGTTTTTTAATACATAAATTTAAAATTTTGTACTAAAAATTTATTTTAAAAAATAATAAGAATATCAATCCAAATAAAACCTAAGCCTGATTAAATATATATAGCTTCAATTTTTTGATCTGAACTTCTCAATATCGTTCTCTATCAATACCTTTCGCTATTTAAATATCATTGATATATCATCAAAAAATTATCTTGATCAGGCATGAATCTCGAGGCAAAATCAAGTCGGAAACTTCAAAAATTAAATCTGGGATCATCCGAACTCCGATTTCGTCAAACTTATAGTCAAACTGAGCGTCTCGAGAATACGAACCCAACGGCATCAAATTTGACTCAATCCGAGTCCAAATGAGTCCAAATCAAGGACCCGAAGCACTGTTGGAAGCTTTGTACCATTGTTTGAGTTACCAAACAGTTTCCAAATATGACGACTTATAGTCGAATCGAGCGGCTCGACGAGACAAATCTAACGAGCCCAAAATCACTGAATTCCAAAATTATTAGTGTCTCGAAATGTCTGACGAATGGTCCATGATCAATGGATTCAATATCGGCCGTCCATCAAACCCCTCCTCATTTACCCTTGATCTCTCACCTATTTATGGGTCATGCCACTCAAAAAATCTATAAATAGATCCCTCATTTCTCTTGAAAGGGGACCCAAGCATGAAAGAGAAGAAGAGAAAAAGAGAAGAGAATGAAGAGAAGGAACAAGCTTCTCCTCGACCACCGCCGGAATTTTGCCGGACCACCACCTAATGCCCTCACCTTTGCCGGACCACCACCTGAGACCCTCGCTTTCGCTAGACCATCACCTGAGGCCCTCGCCTTCATTGGACTACCACCTGAGACCTTCACTCATAATACATACTATTATCATGATATATATATAATAATAAAAGTATATATATATATAATATTATATATATATATATATATATATATATTTGTTAGATTTGTTATATGTCATCCATTGATGCGAGATCAAAAAAATTAACTTAAACTGCAGTGGTGTTAGATCGTCAAAATAAAAACTTTCAATACGCGGTTTAACTTCAAAGTCAAACTTGTTGAATCAATTCATAAATAACCAAGCGACATTGGATATTCATGTAAATGCATTATTTTTCAACGATGTACATATATATTTAGGTCAGAATATTCTAATTACAAAAATTTTTAGAATAGATTCCAAATTTAGTAATAAAAAAATAATATATATTAGAAAAATTATTTCTTAAAAAAAATCAATAAATTTAAGTCTGAACCCTTTTTTATTTTTTTTCAATTCACGACTTAGTAATTTCGGTGTGTTCCGAAAAATTAATTAAATGAATGGAACCTGCACCTCATGACTAAACAGGTAAGAGGTACATCCATAAAAACAAAAAAACAAAAAAACAAAAAAAAGAACGGAACTACCTACCTCCTATTTCTTTCTCTCTGTCCCTTCTAACAGCTGCGATTATCATGTTCAACATTCCTAATGAGGATTTTCGATATAATTGACGACGTTGATGGCAATCAAGCATTGGCAACATCCACCACCGCATCCCTGCTTTCTCGTCATCGTTGTCGGATCATAAACAGAGCTGAACGCAGCCGTTTTACGGTCGGCAACCGCTCGAATTGCCGCCACTGCATCTGTATCTCTTCATCTTCATCGGAGAAAACGAGAAGCCTCTCCATCTTGGCTAAGTCATTTGCTTCTGCAGAACCCATTGGATAAATGCCTAATGCAAATGGTTTGACTTATATAGGCGTGCTGGGGAACGCGTCTAATACTGTCTTTTGTCTTTTCTCTTTGTTGCGGTTAACGGTAAGTTGATCATTTTTTTCCTAAATTGGCACGGAAAGGCTTTTTTATTTTAATCGCTCACTTACTGATCAAATTTTTATTCTTGATGATCATAAAATTATTTATTTTCTTTTTAAATTCGTAAAATATTAAATTTAATTAATATTTAGATGAATATATTTATGTAAATATTAGCCTTAATTAAATTTTCTCAGACATTTTGATCTAAATTAGAATAATACGTACGGAACTTTGAGAAATTTTATTTTACATTTTAATTAAATGATAAAATTATGATATTGTACTTAATTTGTTTTAAATACGGAACTTTAATTATTTAGACATTATTTTAAATAGGTTTTTTGCTGCTTACTAAAGCAACATTTTAGTATAAATTTTTTTTAAGCTATTAATTCTTGCACTTAAAAATTATTTTATCAAGCAATAGGGAAGCTTCCCTCATCTAAGGAGAAATTACTGCCTGTGATCATCCGAAGGCCAATCAAGATGCCCCGTGTTATTCCATACACAGCTGTATTGAGTGATGGTACAAAGTATAGCAGTGATGTGGCACGTCTTGATTGGCCACCAAATGGAGTTGGGACCCATTTAATAATTTCTCTAATGTAATGCTCGTGTATGTTATTAGACTTGATTCAACTATTTATAATATTTTGAATGCAACGTGTAGAGTACTCGTTGGTCCACTAAACTATGACGGATTTAATAATAAGAAAATGGATATAAAATTAATTTATTCACCATTTCTAAAGTTAAAATGGAATCGGGTTTACTGCCAATTGGCAGAAAAAAAGAGAGACCGCAAATGAAACCGTCGGAGAGAGTGAGTCAATATTATAATATATATATATATATATATAACAAAAGTATATTAAATCAAAATAGAATTACAAGAGGCCATGAAACAAAAGAAAAACAATTGAAGGAAATACAAAAAGAAACAATCAGAAAGCTCAGTAATTGGCCGAGGCTCCCAACTTCCCCGAAGTCACGCACAGACCCTCCAATTATATATATGTAATTTACCATTTTATATATATTGGATTAATTAGTGTAATGCCAAAAAAATTAAATCTTAAAATATTAAAATTAGAATTTATGAAGTCTTAAAGTTATCCTAAAAGTACATTAAGGATTCATCAGTGTTCAAAAAAAAAATTTATGCAACCTCATCAAAAAATTATATGGAATCAAAACCTCCCAATGAAGTGAAGAAAATAAAAGTCACAAAATTCATGTTTTCTCCAAATAACTTAGATTTCTTTTCCTCAAATTGAATAACATAAAATAATTTTTATGCAACCTCTAAAATTTTAGGCTTCAATTGAGATGACTTTCTTTATACTTCTTAGATCAGCTTTTATTTCAAATATTTTAATTTTTTAATTAAAAAGCAGAAAGAAAGCCGTCTCAAACGAAGTTTTAGAGTGTATCAACATTAAGAAAACTCAGGGAAAAAAAACTTGGTGCGGAAACGAAACACATTTGCCTTTTTACTGTTTGAGAATGTTTTATTCATTAGAGCAGTAAATATGTTTCGTTGTCCATGATTAGCTATATAAAATTAACAGAATTGTAAAATCAAAAGTTATGCTAAAAGAATGCGTTCATCACACTTTGACTTATTTTGTTAAAAGGGTTACAATAAAATATCAATTTGATGTCAAAAATAGCTTTTTTGTAAACAAATATTTTATTGTAACGCATTGCGAGATCACAAATGAAACGACGGGAGAGTGATTCAAAAATATTTTATTGATTTTTCAAATTGAATTTTTTAAATTGAACAAAAAACTTTCTTGTAAACAAATATTTTATTGTTATGCTCATTTATCATTTGTTTAAAATATTTGAACAAAATTGAATTTTTCTTGTAATGCATTATAGTAACATAAATTTTGATATTTTCTTGCAACTCTATTAACAAAATGGTTAGCAACAATTTTGTTGAAAGAGTTACAAGAAAATATCAATTTGAAGTCAAAAGTATTATTAGCATGAGATGCATCAAGAGTGAGAGAGATGGATGCAGATTTCACCCATTTTGGAGGGCGCTTATTGTTGATATTCCCTTATCACATTTGCTCATCCAACTTAGGCTTCATTTGGGACGGCTTTCTTACTGCTTCTTAAAACAACATTTTAGTATAACATGAATTAGCGGCTAAACGAGGGTCTAGAGTTGGTACGCAGTCAGTAGGAGGTCTAGTGATGGTAGGAAGTCAAGCAGAGATATGTTGGTGTTTGATAGACGAGTAGTGGTTAAGTGATGGTCGTGACCGGGCAGCGGTCTGGTGGTGGTTGATGGAAGTTCGCCGGTGGTGTTGCTTAGGTATAATTTTAGGATCCTTGAAGTCTAAGAGCTCTCTCTTATCCCTAAACAAAGTCCCAAGCTTACAAGTGTCCAAGCCCCCTTTCATGTAGCGAAACGACGTCTATTTATAGATTTATGGTAATAGCATGCTCCGTAAATATTTAAAAAATCCATACTTAATTTGGAGTGCTCTATCGGACGGCTTATATATATTTTCATGATTATAGAGAATTCATTAAGCATTTAAGTTCCCTAAAGATGTTAGAATTATGCAAACTTGTGCATGTTGAATTCATTCCATCGAGCTTCTCAAT